TGGGATTGCTAGATGAACTCATTTTTGTGAAAACATTAACTTCGACTGAAATCTACATTTGTCACTTTTTTTCTTTTTTCTTTTTTTTTGCGTGTAGCTCAAAATTAGCCCATGCACATTCACACTCATTTTGCCAGCACAGGTCACATGTGTAGTATTGGAGTATTAGTATTTAGACAATATGTGACCCTGGAGCACAAAACCAATCATAAGGGTACATTTTTTTAAATTGACATTGACAATTGACATCTGAAAGATGAATAAATAATTTTTCATTATTTAAATAATCTAATCATTGATGTATGGTTTGTTAGGATAGGACAATATTTGGCTGAGATACAACTATTTGAAAATCTGGAATCTGAGGGTGCAAAAAAATCTAAATATTGAGAAAATCATCTTTAAAGTTGTCCAAATGAAGTTCTTAGCAATGCATATTACTAATCAAACATTAAGTTTTGATATTTTTATGGTAGGAAATTTACAAAATATCTTCATGGAACATGATCTTTACTTAATATCCTAATGATTTTTGGCATAAAAGAAAATTGGATCATTTTGACCCATACAATGTATTGTTGGCTATTGCTACAAATATCCCCCAGCGACTTAAGACTGCTTTTGTGCTGCAGGGTCACATGTGTATTTCCTGTCATCTGCTGTGTTTTCCACATAAACTCGTATCCTGAATGAATCTGTGGAGGGTCAGCCCATGTTTGTTGTCTCTCAGTAATCAGGCCGAGGGCGACGTGAAGGAGGAGATTCTGCAGCCTCCAGAGCCGCGGCCCGTTCCTCCGATCCTCACGCCGTCTCCGCCCTCGGCCTTCCCTACGGTCACAAACGCACGGCAGGACAATGACCGCTACCATCCCAAACCCATCCTGCACGTGCTGGCGTCGGACCAGAACCCCGACCTCAACGAGAACTACAGCAAGCCAGGGCAGGACGGGCCGGACCGCCCGCTGGAGCGCACGCTGAGCATCGAGATCAAGACCGTTCCGCTGCAGGAGGGCCCTCGCAGCTTCGAGGGGAACAGCGCTCTGCAGCGCTCACATGCCTTCAAGCGCTCCAACACCAGCTCCGTGTGTGAGGAGAGCGACGAGCCTCCGCGACCCAACCACCTGCCGCTGATGGAGGAGAAGGGTCAGTCCGAGCCCGGCCGGACCGCGCTGAGCTTCACCAACCCGCTGCACTCCGACTGCCCTGACGCTCTCTCCACGATAAGCAGCACGGCTTCAGCGGCACAGCAGAGCACTGACACCCACCGCAGAGTCATGCCGATGTCCATCGCAGGCCAGAGCCTCCCCACACACACCTCAGGTACGTACTTACACACACACACACACGCACGCGCACACTCTCTCACACACACACATACACTCACACACACACACACACGCACGCACGCGCACTCACACACACACACACACACACACACGCATGCGCACACTCTCTCACACATACACACACACACACGCACGCAAATACACAAGGTCAGATAAGCTGACAGAACTTAAAGGGACTGAAAGAAAAATGGGAAAAGGTGCTTCTGTTTCCGAGAGAACCGTGGATTACACAGTCGTCCACTTCCTAAAGACTGGACTCAAAGCGACACAGACTCCTGTCACAGTGATGCTAAAATCGGTCACTTCCTGCTCGCATGTGCCAATCATTTCTGATCAAATGAGAGTCGAGCGACTCGAAGGAAGGGAGAGCTGGGAAAGGAAGCAGACGGAGGAGCGGCGTGTGTGTGTGAGAGTGTGTGTGTTTGTGTGTGTGTGCTTGTTTGTGTGTGTGTGTGTGTGTGTGCAGAGATGCTCCTGGGATCTTTAGGTCACCTGATCAAAGCTTGTTTTCTGCCTCTGAGCTGTGCTAATGTGCTAATGCTGCCTGTCTAGGGCACTCAGTAAATTTGTGGGGCTGAAGGCATGATGGTAGTGTGATGATCGGGGGTCTGGGCTGGCGGGCTCGTGTCAGGTGTTGATGCTGCATTTAGCGGTGTGTGTACGTGTGTGAGAGAGAGCTCTGGTTGGTAACGGTGCTCTCTTTGCCCCAGACTGTGACGACAGTGAAGATTGGCCCCCGCCTGTTCCTGAGCGAAACCGCTGAGTCCTTCCTAATGGCCACAGGTGTGTCTTTACTGTGTCCAGCCACAGGGCAGCAGAGGCTCTGAGACAGAAGCACAGCGCGTCACTTCCTGCTTCTGTAGTCGAGCGGGATCCTGTTCCACTGCGCACAGAATCCAGACAATGGATTTACTAACATTGAAACTAACATTGTGTGTTAGTTTCGTCCGGTTGCTCTTGGTGAACATCAGTTTCGTGACACACACACACACACACACAGTGAACCTCAGCCCTCTGTTACGTCTCGCAGCGACTGAAGTGATCATTCTGAAATATAAATGACAAAAAGTGGTTTTGACCAAATGCTTTTTCAATAAGTATGTAGATAAAGGGTATGTTTCCCAGCATGCCTGGTTGTTTTAGTGCATCTGTGTTAATGGTGAGTCAGTAGCCTGTGTGTGTGTGTGTGTGTGTGTGTGTGTGGATTCTGTGAGTTTGAAGAGCATTGATCACTGATGGCTCATTAAGGGCTCAGTCGTTAAACTCGTCTGTTTCATTAGTGAGGTGATAGTGTGTCGTCAGAAAGCCGCTCGTTCTCATGTCTGTCTGAACTTCCTGTAACGTTTCCCTCGTGTTCATTCAGAGGCCGCAGATGTGAAGCCGCCGCTGGCCGAAGCGTCGTCACAGGTGAGACGAGTCTGTTTCTGCTGCGAGCGACTGAGAACGAGAGCTTTAACATCTGTCTCTTCTCTTCACAGGCGTCTGCAGACACACAAGCTCCTGCTAGTCCTCCAAAGACCGGTACGTCACGCAGTCTCGTCATCAGAAGTGTCCGTGTGCAGCGGTGCATGTGGAGACCGAGCGAGTGCACTAGGTGGCGCTGTGTGTGTCGAGCTCGTCCGTTCACACTCATCGCGGTCCAGTATATTTTATACACTGTGCGCAAGACGTATACCCGGGCCTTAGAGCTGCTACCAGATTAAACCACATCATATTATCAGCCAAAAACACTTCCTGTTCATCAGCACTTCCTGCAGACTTTTATTTTTACTGAATCTCTCGGTGTCCCGCTTTCACTCGTCATCTCTGACCCGTGTTTGTGCAGCACTAGAAACCAGCATTAGGTGCGTTATTTACAATATTAATAGCATTAACATGATAACAGCATTTACATTTTTTTTAATATCACTTTTAAAGGGATAGCTCACCCAAAAATTAAAATTAGCCCATGATTTACTCACTTTCAAGGCATCCTAGGTGTATATGACTTTCTTCTTTCAGAACGAATCCAATCGGAGTTATATGAAAAATTGTCCTGGCTCTTCCAAGCTTTATAATGGCAGTGAATGGCTGTTATTTTTCATCAGTCCAAAAGAAGTGCAATACAGCGCATCCATCCATAATAAACAGTGCGTCACACAGCTCTGGGGGGTGAATAAAGGCCTTAGTAAATTGATGCATTTTTGTAAGAAAAGTATCCATATTTAAAACTTTATAAGCAGTAATCTGAAGCTTCCACTAAATGTCATACGTTCACACAGCGTAGTGTTACTCCGGTGATTAGAGACGAACGAGGAAGTGCAGCAGAGAGAGCAAAACAAAATGCCGGCCACGAATGAGAAGTACAAAACGAGGATTTGTAAAGAAAAATGTGGGAGGATTGCGATATAAGCCAAGAGGAGGCTGGTTTTCCTTTGCTAAAGTAAGGAAACTTTGCTTCCTTTGCTCCTGTAAACAAACGTAGGTTCATATAAGACCAGCATGTTCTCATCAGCCGGAACGCCGTTCTATTGTGAGCGCTAAGGATTGGAGATTACTGTTTATAAAGTTTTAAATATGGATATTTTTTATTCTTATTATGGATGGATGTGCTTTATTGGACTTCTTTTGGACTGTTGAAAAATAACACCCATTCACTGCCATTTAAAAGCTTGGAACCAAGCCAGCCACCGAGCCAGGACGTTTTTTAATATAACTCCGATTGGATTTGTCTGAAAGAAGAAAGTCATATACACCTAGGATGCCTTGAGGGTGAGTAATTTATGGGGTAATGTTCATTTTTGGGTGAATATGCCTTTAATGTCAGAGTGGGTTTATTGTGACTCCTTCTGACATTCACAGGTGCCGCTGTCTGCTCAGTTAATTCCTTACTGTTTACACAAAGATATGATTTTTATTATTATAATGAACATTATTATTATTATTATAATTACACAAAAATAATATTTTAATTCACTTGCAGCATTTCAGTGCATTGTGGTTGAACACACAGCTTTATTTGAATGTGAATGTGCTTTTGTTAGCCCTTAGCAGCCGCTCCGAATCTCCAGCTGTATCTCAGAGATCAGCCGCTGATCGCACTCAGAGACACTCACTCTGATTTCTCCCATAATGTGATGAAATAGAAGCCTGACGGCAAAGATGTGCATTTGTTTAGCAGTGATGTTTTTTCTAGATGCTGAGCAGAAGAACGGAAAGGGCCCAGATTCGCCTCTGAAGGACAGGAGAGCAGAGACGGATATCGGTGAGTGACCAGAGCAGACCAGAGCTTTTCCGTAATGATCTGTGAGTTTCTCTCAAGCGTCTCTGTGCCGCAGGATTCAGCAGCCACTGCTCGCATCCCAAAGGCCCCCGGGAGCCTCCGTCGGAGTGGACGTGACCGCGGCACCCATCCGCTCCACACTCCACGCTCCTCTTTCTTCTATAAGTGCCACTGTAGACGACGGCGCCTCTTCTCTGACTAACACAATCAGTAAAGCTACAAAGATAATCTCCCATGATGCACCTCGCTGCCATGGACTCGCTGTGCTGGTGCTAAGCGTGTCTCCGGGACCAGAACCTGCCTTACTCCTGCTGCGGGGCTGGACCCGTTCTTCTGCAATAGTTTAGACTGAGATCAGACGGCGCGGGCCGGAGTTCACAGGGCGAGCCGTA